CAGCGCGGGAGCGGAGGTAACGCCGGGGCGGCCCCGCGCCCCCCGCCACCGGGCGGGACGGGACCGGCCCCAAAATCTGCTTCGCGTGGGCTTTGCTTCCCAGGGCGGCCCTGGGCTAAAGCTGTCGGAAGTGGAAAGGTGGCGGGCACTATCCGTTCTATCAGTGGCAAACAGAGCCTGCACTTCCGTGGAAGTTTTAGATGCAGAAAAACTACCGAAAAGATCGTTATTGGCCTTTGCAATCTCAGACGTACCCGCAGCACAGCTGAGGAGGTACAGGGGAGCAAAAACCAGCTCCGAAGGGTCTCTCGTGTCCGCCCTCGCGTCCCCGCGGCGGGTGGCGGGGATGTTCCTGCGGGGCTGGGCTCTGTGGTTCTTCCCTTCTGAATTCCCACTCATAAACCAGCACAAAACACACTTTGTGCATGTGAGCATTCCGGGGCAGGATTATTCGAAAAAAAGAAAGAAAATGAAAGTTTCCATACCAGAGGTGCAGTTGTGCAACGAGTTTGCATCACTCACGGTTATGAAACAGCATCAAGCAGCGAGTTGGGCCCCGGCGCGGCTCCGGGATACGGGGACGGCCTGGAAGGGGGGAGCAGGGAGCGGCGACTCGGCAGCACCTGCTGCTCTTGTCACCCCCCGGGTGGGCGCTGGAGCTTTTGGGCGCCCCGGCTGCCCCGGGAGCCCCCACGCCCGGGGTGACCCTCTGGCAGCTCTCGCCCCGGGAAGGGTCACTGAGCTGCACGGGGGATGCTGTGGAGGTGCCAGCACCCCCCCCCAGGACCCGCAGAGGGCACAGACCACCCGCAACGCATTTGAGACTCACCCCCAGGACGTGCTTCTGCGGGAGAGCTCGGGGGCAGGTGGGCACGGCCAGGCCTGGAGCGAGAAACACCCCCAGAAACCTGGTTTCGAAGAACAGATCCAGATGGCACTGCCCAAGGGGGCAGACAAAGAGCGAGAGGTCGGGCGGCTGTGTGGAAGGGGGGTAGTCAAAGGGATGTTTTGTCTGGAAGGTACATGGTGCATGGAGGGCTCTACACAAACATACACAGGGAAAAGGGGAAGAGTTTGAGCAGTAAATGGCAAATTATCACCTGGGAAGATTTTACTCTGGTGTTAGATTCAGTTCCCAGTGTGTGAATCTTCAACAAACCCTAGATTTATTTGCACAACTTGTGCTCTGCCATTTTAAAAGTGTAACATGGGCAGTGACATTTGTTGTCTCTAAATCTCATGAGTACACCTCACATCGTATCCTTAAATAAATACCATCATTTAAGTGTTTAGCTGTAAATACATATTATAAGCATATACTATACACTTACTCTTTAGATATTTATATTGTATTTATGGAATAGATACTAGGTTTCTCTACTGAGATTAGAGAACAAAGACAAGGGTGTTTTGTTTTGGTAGCCCTGTTCTGTCACAGGCTGTGACAGAACTTTGTTCCTAGCGCTGTGGTTTCCTGGGAATTAAAGCCACAACAGACATAAATAGTCTATCGCTATAAATTAAGCATGCACCCCTCAATTCTTCAGACAGCGCTCCCAGGAAGGGGCCTTTTCCCCAGGGAAAACTTGCATGCTGCCTCTCAGACCCGGGTAGAACCTCACCTGCCATCAAAAAATAAACTAGAGGCTGAGAGGGAGCATGTGTGTCTGGGGAGCCAACCCCTTCCACAGGGAACAGGGGGCTGCTACCCCCAGCACTGTTGGGGCGATCTCGCCCCCGAGAGATTTTCCTCCGTGTTTTCAAGGCACTCGCTGTAAGTTAAGCCCCGTGCGATGGGGTAGCCAGCACTAAGTTGCACAAGAAGGGGATTAGCTGGAGGTTTATCAGCACAGGGATAGAAGAGCGAGCAATGGGAGGCGCTGTCCTTCCCTTCCTCCTTCCCCGAGGGAGCTCTCCCTGGAGTGCCCGGAGAAGGGGAAGGGACCCACCAGCCTGCAGAGACCTGCTCAAAGCAGAGAAGTGTTTTACTTCATTGTTCATCAGGCTGAAGCAAACCAGCTCCTGTCCTGATACACCCAGTCCCACACGTGGCACGCCCCATCCCTTTTTTTGGGTGCACAGTGTTTTATCCAGAAAGAGGAGGACACGGCAGGCTTCTGTCTCTCTGCACATTACACCACCACAGAGAAACAGCCTGCAAAAAGACAGAAGCCCATCAGGTAGACAGTTGCAGGATTGGGTTGTTTCCCCCCACCTCTTTAGTTCTCCTCTTCCTTTATGTAGCTGAGCCAGCTTTTGGCAAGTCAGATGTTTTGAATACCTAGAAAAGTTATTTTAATGTGTTTGTGAAGCCAACCGGCCTGCTGCAGCCCTCACTGCGGTGCTGGAACTGCCTGGAGTCAGACTGGGGCTAAACTGAAAATGGGCAGGAGGATGAAGAAAATGTTGCAGGACAGAGATAAGAAGTGGAAACAGAAATAAACAAGTTAAGTGTGTGTGGGAAGAGGAGATGCAACCGTGGTGGTTCTTAGGAGGCAGATTCCTGCTGGGCACACTGCAGATGTCATCCACAGACACCCAGGTTTCTTTGGTATGAAAATCAGGGTGCAAGAATATTGTGGAACCAGGTCTCAGCCTGAAGTGGGGCTGGGATATGACTGGGAAAGCAGTAATTACGTCTAGGTTGTGTAATACAGATGCAGCCAGAGGGGCTGTGCTAGCAAACGTGTGCCACTGAAGTTATCCCCCAGTAATTGCAGGATTATCAGCTACGCACTAAAAGGAAGCGAGGGCTGATAATCCTTTACATACTCTGTGATTACATCACTTTCAAAAACCGTTCTGGGTGTTCTAAAACGCTGCCCAGGCCTCTGTTGTGCAGTCACCAAACACTGCAGCGCTGCCCTGACCCCCCCCTCGCTAGAGACCCGCACAGGTAACTGTGGCTTCTTCCAAACTCACCTGGTGCTGCTGCCAGGATCAGCCGCTGCTCTTCGCGGGAAGCTGATGCTACCAGCTCATTTCTGAGGAATTGAAATACAGGGACTCCCACTGCTGATGGGAGTTGACTAGGCCGAGCCTACCAGCACCTGCTGATCTCACTGCATGGCCTCTCCCTGGCATTATTCGAGAAAGAGTGTTTTCCCATGCTTGGGAAGTCCTGAGAAATGCTACGGGAAAACACAGGATATAATTAGTAGGAATAGTAGTCGAAAGGTTGGGACGCCAATATGCAATTCAAGCCAGCATGTTCAAGCTCTTCACTTCTATTTCTCCCCCTTTCCTGCTCATGCACAGCTCCACCGTCCCCGTTTCTTCACTTTGTACCTTCCCCATTTCTGTGTGCCCACCTGATTTACTTTCCCTTGTCAATGAAGAATTATTTCAACATTCCTCCTCTGACAGGCAGAGGGACAGACCCCTGGCTACATCATTTAACTGCCAATTACTGCAGCAGAGCAGTACTTTCCCAGTTTGACAGCATTTAGCATTTCTAGTTTGCAAAACACTTTCAGACTTTCTTCCCCGGGGGGAAGCTGACAAAACTCCCGACAAGGTCCAGTTGCTGAATACCTGCAGGAAACCACCCTGACATAGGTACATCCAAATAAAGCTCGAACCCCTCTGGGTCCCTGCTTACCACTTTAAACCCAGCATTTGACAGCCACGCTGGGGCTGCACAGATGACCAGCACGTTACAGTGTGGGTAGAGAACAACAACTGGGCTTCTCTCTGCAGGCAAAGAGCAACAAGGTGAAGAATTAGTGAGGCCTTGGTAACTTTAAATTTCCGACTTAACCTTTGGGAATTACTTATCTGAAGGACCAAAGAGGATCCTTGTGCCCGGAGCTCTCGTTCCCATTACCCTGGTTGCTCCTGCAGAGAACAGCTCCCTCAGACCTCAGCCAAGGCAGAGCCCTGGTGCTGCGGGTGACGTAGCGTGTCCTGCAGCTGGCACCGGCTCCCTCCGCACGGAACGATACGGCTCTTGGCGCAGGGAACACGGCTACTCCTCTGCTTCACTTCAGACACTCCCTGGTAAACAGCGAGTAGAAGCCATCAGGCAGGAAGTATGGCAGCCATGACTACAGCAAGGAGCTATGCAGACTTCTGCCTCCCTTCCTTGTTGTCCGTCCCCGCCCAAGACCAGCTGACACCATTCCAGCAGACTAGCACATCCTTCTCCCACTTCTCCTCCTCCCCAACCTTAGTTCTGAATTCTTCTCTGCTTAGTTTTTCTTCCACTGGTTAGTTCTTTTGCTCTCTTTTTGACTTTGACTGTTGTTGGGCTTTGTCTTTCTGCCTTTTTTGCATGCACTCCTATCCACTGCCCTCCCACGACTCTCCCTGGGGCATACCCACAGCCCAGCAGCAACCTGCCCTTTCTTGTTTACTCCTTGCAGACCTTCTCATCCCTCAGGCTTTACCAGTCCCTCCACGCTCACTGCTTTGCCTTCAGAATTCTGCTCTGCTTCTATCACCGCAATTTTTCATCACCCCATGCACTCCGGCCTGTGGTCCCAGCTGCTAAATCTCTTTAAATCTGCGTAAACTGTATGGGCAGACCAGAGTACAGGGACAAAAACCATAATGCAGGAGAGCTCCCTGGCTGGCCAAGCTTATGTCTGTTCTCCAGGCAGAAATCCACTGCACCAGCACAACATCACCCGTGTGCCATTTCCTATCAGCTTAAGCACATCTGTTACAAGTGGGGTTTCTTCTTCCCCACTCCCTGCCTCCTCACCCCAGAAGTCACAACTACAGCACAAAAAACTTTTAAAGACTGGCCAAGACAACAACCAAGTCCTCTTTAACAAGCCTCTGAAATGCTGGTTGCTCTATAACTTGATTTTTCTCTCCTGGGGCTTCCACAGCTGCTCTTTCCCCACTGCTGCAATCTCTCTCATGGTTCCTTCCTGCTGCCCCCCTCCTGCATTACAGATGAACAGGAATTGGGTGTACTTCCCTCCCACGTATTTGAAAACATAGCACATTTCAGTTCTGCCCTTTTTCATCATACCTCTAATCTGTTTACATTTTAGCAAGCTAAACACAGCTCTTCTGTAGCATTTGGCTTTTGGCCAGAAAATCTGCAGTGAAGCTCTTTCCTGATTACTTGCTTACTTTTTTTTACTGCTGCCTGTGCTTTAATGTGGTCTTGCTCTTGTGCGGCTGACCAGATCAAGGCTTACTTAGTCACTACTCCTGTAGGCAAATTTCATCCAGTGCACTTCATGGGCTTGGCATCAAAGATTGCTGCAACCGACTGAACGCTTCAGGAAGCCACAGGTGTACTCCCCATTTATCCACCAAGATCTCCTTCCTTGTTTCACAAAACATCAGTTAAGTACTTATCTCCTCACTGTCCTCCCTGGTGGTTATTTTCCCGGGCAGCTTCTCAAGTGTCTGCTACTAATCCACATCACTCTTACTAGCCACTGAGCATCCTTAGCACCCTTCTGAGGCTAAAAATGCAACACCACTATAAAATTATTTTGCTTGAGCACAGGAAAGCACACACTTTTCTCACTCTCAACTACATCATTCCACTGAGTGAACAGACCTTCTGGTAAATTCAGAAATACTCAGTGCCCCCCCCAGGTGGAGTTCATATATCAAACCACTTTATTCCTCTGGAATACTTATGGGTGAGACTATTATATATGTAGGTAAAATTCAGTAACCTCACGGCACAAAGCGGAGGGCAGCAAAGGCCTCACCCTCAGCCCCACCAGCCAGCAGGGGCAGGTTCCCTCTGGGGGGAGCAGTCCTGTGAGCCTGGTACAAGGTCAGTTGACTTCAGCTGCAGTCTGTGCCGGCGACAGGACTAGGACGTGGGTCAGCTCCTACACACAGATCTGTATCTAAAATCAGCTACACATGGAATATATTTGTGTAGTTTCGTGTCAGAATGACCGCTCACAACCACGTCTGGGTTTGTTTCAGATGGACGTGGCACCGGGCTGGGCCTCAGCGGTGGGTTTCACGCTCCTGCCCCACGCAGGAGGGTTCCTGGGAAGCCGGATAACCCGGAGGGAGGTGCCGCTGTGGTACGAGTCTCTGCAGAAGCCGTCCTGGCGCCCACCAAACTGGGTGTTTGCTCCCGTCTGGGGAACCCTCTACACATCTATGGGGTATGTTTTTCACACAGCTTCAGGGCACTTACCTGATCTCAAAGTGCTTATGGTATTGTCCTCGACCAGAGAAGAACTGTTGTGTTCCTGGCTGTGCGTTTGTAAGAAACTGTGTCAAGGTGCCTGTTAAACAGGTAAAAACATGCTTTGGGGCGTGGGGGGCGACAGGACAGTTTGTATGCACAGGTATCGACATGAAAAGTGGGGGTTTGAAAAGCTGCCACCACTGTGCTTCCCTCATTCCCCGAGGGGAGGAGCTGCCAGCCGGCAGGGAGGGAACAAGGCAGCACTGGGATCTATTCCTCTGTGTGTCCTTCAGTAGCTTTCGAAAAAGAAAAGGGGGGGGCGGATGATTGGGATAGAACCGTTCTAACAGAGTTCAATTAAACCAAAACATACATGTCCTTCCAAATAAAACTGCCAGGCTGTTAAACTAAATGCCTGAAGCCACCTACTGCCTCCTCCTTACTGAACTAGTTTAAAACACCTGACAGCACAGCACTTACTGTCAAATGAGCAAGGAATCACAAGGCCAAATACCATCCCCACAGGAACCTTAAAAGTTTAATAACGCTGTATTTTTGGCAGCTCTTACTTTTCCGAAGATGTAGCAAGAGCATTCACAGAGGTAGGTTGTCCCGGGAGGTGGTTTGGGCAGTTTGGATACTCCTCCCACACTGCTCGAGCAGCTTTTTCCCTGGAGTCGAGGCAGCACTCAGCAGCGGGCAGCAGCGCAGCCCCCAGGCACGGCAGGATGCTCTGACGCCTCTTTGGCACTCGGTCACTAGGAACCAGCTACCTACCAAGAGCCTGCATGGTTTTTCCCCGCCGTCAAATACGCATTGTTGCTAATGCAATAGTAATAGTTTTTAGGCTGCAATGTGCCTTTTATGGCTCAGCCCTTCGATCTCCCCCATCATGACAGTACATTTAAGTGATTCATAGTTTGCGTGTAGCACTGGCTTAACTATATAAAGCTTCAGAGTCCAGATCTTTTCCAAGTTAACATTACATGGTCACCCTGCAGGTGTCTTAACTACCACACCACCTGTTGCAAATTACAGCAATGATGCAATATCTGAATGCTAAATTTTCTCACATGTTCTTTCATTTTGGGTTCATTTTCTTCCCAGAAAAGCTAATTTTTATAGCTTGATGTACTGTCTCTCCTATCAGTATTATCTTTTCTTTCACCTCTCAGGGAGTGTACTTTAAAAAACTGCTGTCTACTCTTGTATATTCCAGGAGTCAGCATTTGAATCAGATCACTACTGTCTTGTCAATTAAAAAATGCCTTTTATCAAGGAGACAAGAGCAGAGCAGAGCAGTTTTCCCATGAAGGGTTTGCTTCAATTGGAATGCACAATTTGTAACCATTCTGGATTCCTCATCATAAACCTGGATATCAAGTTAAATATTTTAAAAATCACAATAGCAACAGTTTATCACTTACTCTGATAATGCCAGAACCAGTATATTCTGAGGTGGATGGTCTCAGTTATGTACATCTATAGCTCAATGAAAAGATCCTATTTATTACCGCCCTTTTCTCCTCTAATCCATCATGCGCACACATTCCTTGAATGACCCAGGCATCTCATTCCTTTAGAAGTCCTTGAATATACTAAAAGCAAGAAATAACTAAAAGCAAGATTTAATAAGCTTACCTCTGTCTTGACATTTAACTTCCTAGCAGATTTGTACATCATGATCTTGGTCTGAAGTCTAAGTCAGATGTAAGGCCACACTGTGGCTCTGTAAGTCACTCAGGAACAGATTTGAGTCCTGATGACTTTTACAAAGATAAACTGTTAAGTTTTTAACACTTATGCTGCCTCCTCCCCCCATTGTTTTAATACTCTCTGCAATCAAACTGCCAAGATATCAAAGCTGCATTGTTCAGTCTTTACAAAAGTAATGGCCACAAAGCAAGCTTGGGTCACCAGCTGGGTTAAACAGGGGGAAAAAAAAATCCTTCTCATATGATCTACAAAGGAAGACAAACTCCTTGCAACTACTCCTGTGGATGTTTGCCTGCTCCTAAAAGTTATCACTTACAAGTTGGTCTCATCTTTGCTCCACTGGCAGCAGAAACACGCCTGAGCCGCCCGCTGTTGCGCAGAGTCCAGCTGACATTCCTGCCAGGGTGGTTGGTATTCAGCTCCCAGTTCTAAAACAAGGGCGACATTTTATCCAGGGGATTCTGCTGTAGGCACCTGGAATGGCTGCGCAGTCACTTGGACTGAAATCTAGCTGATGCCTAAGGGGAAAGTCAGTCAAACAAAAACAGAAGAAATAGTCTTGGCTGATGAGTGTTCCCTTTCTGATCGGGCTCCCCCAGTGCAAAAATAAACCCTACATTAGTAAATCTCCCAAATGCTGAGAATTCCTGTCTTTAGCAGCTTACATTCTGGGGTCCTGCCACTGAAATGTTCTGTGGCATTAGGAGGATCTTTCAGTAGCCAGGATCCCAGAGACAGGAAGGGTGCTGGATCCTCCCTGTGATTAATTCTTCCCATAGAAGCCCCCAAAATCTTTGTTGTCCCCACCTCTGTCCCATCCACTCCTCCCTTCTGAAATATAACTACAGGGTTGCTCCTGCTCTAACACTGTCCATACCCACAAGGAATCCCATTCCTTTTGTCTGTTCCCACCTCAACTCCTGCACTTCATCCTTTTTAAAAGGTTTTATTTTTTACATTTCTTTTAAAGCACCATGTCCCAGTACCAAAATTAAGTTTCTCTGCTATTTAGAGACTTACCATTTACCCTTGCATCTTAGACTTGGCTCCATTTCAATATGGCATTCTCTTTTAAGACTGAAACGCAGTGGGTCATCTGCTCCTCTGCACCTAGAGGATCTAGACCCTAACACTGAAGTTACTAATTTCATTTGTTCAAGAACAGGTGGTTGCTTTCTAGCCAGAGTTCTGAGTTACACCTGACTAACCTCTGCTTTCTCCAGGTATGGCTCCTACCTGGTGTGGAAGGAACTGGGGGGCTTCAGCGAAAAGGCGGTGGTTCCTCTGGGGCTGTATGCAGGGCAGCTGGCACTGAACTGGGCATGGACTCCAATATTTTTTGGAGCTCACAAAATGGGATGGGTAAGTGGAAAAGTAAGCTGCTTTCTCGGAGGCTTCTGCTGTCATTTGCAAAGTGCTAAGATGAAAGTTTTGTGTCACAATCTTTTCTCCCTGAAAACAAGCCTCAGTACAGAATATGGTTTGCAGAAGTTTTCTAAAGTTCTCGTTAATGCATGCCAGCAGTCACCAGAGAGAATTTACCTATCTACAACACCCTTAAACGTTTAGATTTCAAGAAGCTCTTTCTGCCACCCTTTGATAAGAGCTTTGTGTGACTAGAAAATGTAAACATTTATGCCTAGGTATCTCTGGCAAACAGGAGTGATAAGGAGTTTATAACAACATTACTTGGGTAACCCAGCACCCATTTTAGACAAGACTAATTTACTGCAGTCTGAAGAGAAACAACTTTCCTCAAACATAACAATCAGTAATAAAAATATTTGCCTGGTTCTCCAGATCTATATGCAGTGCTGTAACAGTAGGGGCTTTGCAGTCTGTCACAGATTCATTCACAGGCAGCATCTGCGACACAAAGAGACTGGAGTTTACTTAGCTCTAAGTGACCTGCTCGGGGTCACACGGGGTTTCCATCAGCGGAACGCTTCCTGCTACCAAAGAAAGAGGGGACGGGCGAGGTGGATTTTATTCTCCCTCTCCTGCTCCCTGCAAAATGTCCTTTCTTGTGACTGTGTTATCGTTTTATGAGTCAAGCTGACTCCTCACTTACCAGAAATCTGTATGCTGGCTGGTTTTCTGAGAAGGAATTAACTCAGAGGGATAGAACAGTGCCAGAGCTAAGTAGAAAGAGCCACACAGACTATCGAGTCAGGAAAATGCAACAAGTAAAACCAACACTAACCACCTTCCTGTATTTCAGGGGTTGGTGACTCTCCTGCTCACGACTGGTACGGCAACAGCTACAACTGTTTCCTGGTACAACATCAGCAGAACAGCAGCTTATTTGATGGTTCCTTATTTAGCCTGGCTAACCATGGCTTCTGCACTCAATTACCGTATCTGGAAGGACAATCGCAAGGAGAAACAATCTGAATAAACAGTTTTCTGCCAAAGAGATACTTTTTGTTTTCCCACAAGCACCTTCTATATAAAGTTATAGCCTTATTTTATTTTTAGCTGAACTACTTATACCATTAGTTTGCTAATTACAAGTTGACTTGTTTAAAACAAATACGCCTTTACTCAACAAGTCAAAGGGGTGTATGCCTGATAGGTTTTATAGCAAACTAAAAGACAGTGCTGACTGAAAAGTACTAATTTTCTAGATTACAGCATTATACTTTATAAGACAACAGCATTTAAACTATTACCAGAAATAAGCGTGAACTCCAACTTCATCATGTTCAGAGGAAGAAATCCAGCCATATATTAACCCAGCTTCCAGAATGCTGCTCCTGACGGTGTCAGGCAGGACTGTGGCCTGAGTCTTCCACATTTACCACTAGACACAGTGCCTTAGTGCTGTGATGTGTCCCACTACACAGCCAGATCTTTATCTTCTGGCCACTGCACTCTGGAAACCTTTAAGACGAGATCTTTTTCACAATTTGTGCCGTCCTGCTTTGAAGTGTTGTACAATCTGGTGTCAGTTAAATGCATTAAACTAAATGTAAGCTTATTAACCTTGTTCATCTGTTTTTATTCGTTTTTTTTAAATAGTTTTGGGCAGAAAAATACAGGCAGCCAGGCCCCCGGCAGGGCAGGGTCTGCTGCCCACACTGCCTCGCCTCAGTGCCTGCAAACCAGAAAGGAGGGTCTCTCCTCAGGGATATGCAGCTGACGGAGCCGGGCTGTGAGGATCCCACAAGATGAAAACACCTCTCGCACAACAACAGACTAGTTTTGCCCACAGCCTGTGGTCCCAAACCTTACTCCTTTTTTAAAGTCAGCCTTCTGGTTTGCCAGGCATGACACTGCTTTTCCCTCTGAGATGAGGGAAACCTTCCCCTTGCTGTAGATCCACAGGCACTTTGTTACGAGTTTTCGGGTCCCTTGAAGGCAGCAAGTGCCTTCTGCTCCCCTCCGTGTGGTAAATACATCTGCAGAGCAGCACTGCATGTGCTTACCCCAGACAAACTTTTTCCCAGCATAAGATGTGGTCACACCATCTACGTTAGGCACTTCACTGTGTTTCTTTAATCACATTTAAGTAAGGAGTCCAAAAAAGTTCTGACTCGGGAGGAGAGGGCTACAGCTGTCAGCACCGCTTCTGCCCGGGCGATCAGCTCTCCCTTCTGCCCCACCTCTGCAGGGACTCAATTTTCATAAGTCACAGATGGTTTATTTCTCCAGCCTTTGTTCCCCTCAGTGGAAAGAAGTAGGTTTCTTCAGACCAGCCTGAAACAGCTTAAAATATCCTTCTCCCTTCCTGATCACGAGGAATAACATGGTGCATATTTGCAAAGCTTCAAGCAAGGTTTAGAACATTTTAAAGATTTTATAACTGTACTCTGCTCTCAAGTAGATCCTGATTCCTGCATCTAGCTGAAAAAATACTACCCACATAACACGTACTTTGTAACAGACAGCAGGATTTTTGCAACTTGTACATACATACAAAACAACATAAATACATCTAAAACTGCTAAATTTCAGTCAGTTACCCTGAGGTGGAGAAGGGAGAGAGTAGAAATTATTAATTTCAAACTGACACCCCACTCTCAAATACCTCTCTCTTTGAAGTCCAAAGACCTCTCAGGCCTCCAGTGCTTTCCCAGATCCCCTTCACTCCTTCAGGCTTCTTCTGCTTTCCTGAGCTGCTCTAGACATTGCATCCTTCTTCCTTCCTGCCAAGACCTCTTCTCAAATAATAAAAAAAAAATATTACTTTCTTTAAGGGGTATGCTAAGGATGACAGCCAGCAGTACAGTGTTCCTAAGTGTTGTGGGATTTGTTTGCCTTTTTTTTAAATAAGAAAAAATGGGAAGAACCATCAAATCTTTAATTACTCTAGTAAGTTCATCACATTGAAACACCGGTATTTTCCCATCAGAACATTTCAGATCTTTGAATAGCAGATCTTTTAGACCTTTGGATGGGTAAGAGATGTATGAACTCCAACATGATTCAGTAAATTATAGTTTTAATGTTGACGTGGGGAACTTGTGCAATGTTTCCCAGCAAGCAAGCAATCAGGCTACCTGCAGAACAAGTCAATTGCTCCAGTTACTGTCCCATTTTGAGGTCTCCCATATTCAATAAACAAGACACTGAGTCAACACAAACTGACGACTTATAGAACAAAGCAAGACAAGGATAATGCAGACAAAATTATTATCAATACAGTATATGGTATATGCATATTCTTCTAATAAAGATTTTTTTTTCCTGGATTACCAGTATAGGAAAATAGGTGCATCAGCAGCTCATAGAACTGAAATATAAATCTTGCTGTTAAGCATATCTGGGAAGGAAATTAATAAAGTCAAGCCTCCTGTGGCTAGACAATGCACGTCACATGGCAGCTGTCTGTTTCATCCAGAAATAGGGTGCTGAAGACATCATTAAAAAAGGTAGGGTGGTATTTGCAGGCTCTGTCACAGTCAGGATTAAAGTTCACCTCCAGGATCTGAGGTTCCATAATTCTTTTCCCTGGAAAGAACACAAACATTAACTCAATACAAGCTCTAGAGAGATCCTGGATCACCACCTGTCTTTAAGCCAGAGATTACAGAAAGTAATGGGCAAAAAGGCATCTCTTACAACCCAAGCTGGCGAGCCGGTAGGGTGTTTTTATGTCAGTGGGTTTGGGGTTTTTTGGAGTGACACAAGTCTGTTCTACTATTGTTATTCAGAGGACAATTATCCAACTGCTGTGCTAATCCAGTGCCTCATTTAAAATGAGAATTTGCAGCAATTTAACAGGATCTCCCTGATACAGCTTTCTTGCTTGACAGTCTGAATCATCTTCCAGAAAACTCTGCTTCAATTTTCATGTTTCAGTACAAACCTTCCTTTCTTAAAGCTCTCAGGTATCTACCTTTCTAGTTCTAGCAGTCCTGTTCCTTTATGCTCCAGCCACTCCCACACCTGCCATTTCACCTCACGCCTAGAAGGAAGTCAGGAAGTTTAATTTTCTTTTAAAACTTCATCAGTACAGTTCAGCGTTCAGAATCACATGCATTCTGTGCAAAGAGAAAAAGGGTTTCATCTCACGTCTGGATCAAGACCATAAGTGAGGGTTCAAGCTTCTGAGGCGTGGGTAAACCACACTCTGCTCTGCACAGAAGCAGCAACCTGTTTGTCCCCAGGCTGGCTACAGCATCACAGCCCTGACGTTCACACCCACAGCCCCTGTCTTCAGCAGGCTTGGGCCCTACGCAGCTCCTGTCCAGCCAGGGCTGTATGTAAGGCTGGTCCTTCTCCTGCAAGAGCTTTCCTCAAGCTAGTAATGTTAGGGAGTTGCTTTGCCTCTTCCATTCAAGGCAACCCTGGGGCAGGTGAAAGAGCCCTCAGTATGGATGTAGCAGACCCAAATTCAAACCCTCAGAGCACCTGATACAACCAGCAAAAGCTCAATTCCCCACCTCCTGTTTCTCACTCATTTCCCTCCACAAAAGTGACTCAATGTCTACAGAATCAGCCACTGCAGCAGTGGGCTAGGGGCCCCACCCCACACACAACACCTAATCACTCCTCTGGCAAACCTGGGCACAAGCAACTGATTTCTCCTGTGTCCCGAGGAGCACAATGTCACAGGAACAGACACACTTCGTTCTGTTTAACCCTCCCCCAGCAGCCCTTTCTGTGTTGGTGCCTCTGCTGCTTTCCTACCTACGAGAGACAAGTGCCCGGGTTGGGCACACTTACAGAGCAGTTCTGAGCCTCCTGGTGAGACAATAAAAGATTTACCATCTGGCAAATTCTCCTGCTAGTCCTGCACAGCTGGTGGGAGGAAAGGCTCCGGGTAGCTGGCCATGCTGTGGCACTACCATGGCAACAACTGAGAGACGGTCCTGAGGACACCAACAGCAGTGCAAGGGTGAACACGGGCCCTTCCCTGCTTTAATAGGGAACTGTGCCCTGGAGACATGGCCCAAGCCTGGAAGCCCCAGGGAGTATGATGTCTCTAAAGTTGTCATGAAGGGACAGGTATCTCAGACATTCTCTCACCATGAACAGCACAGAACACTCGCTGCTGTCGGAGTGACTAGATTGCTGTACAGTTGGGGGTTTTTGTGCATGTTTGGTGGTTTGTTTTTTTTTTTCCCCACTTTAAAACAGAGGGGGGCAGTAGCGGGAGCACAAGGGAAGCAAGGATCAGGCAGACACAGTTAACAGCTCCCCCAGCATGGCAGATGCTGACCCCATGGGCCACCAATGCCAGACACTTTGGTGTCAGTGGGAGCCCCAGAGCACACAGCTCTCCCTGCCTGAAAACGGGAAGAGTTCAGACAGAAAACTGCATTTCTGAAAAGGTCCACAAATATAAAGAATTCAGCGCTCAAAGAAATGAGCTTCTTACCATCTCTGCTGGTGTCCCACTTAAGCATCAGGTCAATGGCATATATTGCTCTTGATGATGGATAATCACAGATGCCAAGAGGTGCAGGTTTAGCTGAAGCAACTTGGAACAATTCAGCAAATGCCTTAAAAATATTTGCCTAATAACAGAAAAGGAAAGGAGGTTCCATCAAAATCAATAAACGTGTTTTTAGTCACTTCATTCATACAGCTTTTTAGAGTGTGCATAAATTACGTTAGCCAACAGAAGAAAATCTGCACAGCATTAGCTTCAGAATGTGCACCTGGACCTAAAGGCACCACAGTGGAAGTGCCAAGCACCCCGCAATATCCATGGACTTTTCTTGGGAGCAAAGTGGTACTACGGAAATTCTGAAAATAGAGCACTTAATGTAAACATTAACCCCCTTCTCAGACATTATGTACAGTATGGGACTTAGGTGCAGAGGAGGAGACAAAACCCCAGCAGAGTTCTGTGAACACCAGCAGTACAGCTGCAAAGTTCTGACTGACTTTTTCCTGCCTATCAAGCTGCATTCTAACTTTGTTTTGTTTTGTTCTGCAATGGAAAAATCTTCGACCCATTCACACCCTTTCAAAAAGGGTGGCGGGAACATGGAGGCTTTGAGAGAATGGTATTTTGAGAAACAGTCAGATATCCAGTGTGAAAATGAAATAGAAGAGAACATACAGGTGTGAATTTTAGCCCAGAGGTTATACTGCAGTGAACCATTCCTTCTGCACATGAAAAGATGGTGTAATACTTCCCATTCTGCAGACAGGACTACTTCGGGTAACCTACAGCATGTATTTTGACGTCTCTCTCCTCACTCCTTGCAGTCTCTTCCAGCCTGTTTTAAGCCTAATGCTGTGAAACCTGTCATACTCTAAGTATCACTGACTGGATACGAGGTTCTAGTTAAAACAGCTGTAAATTCATTTATGGAAATCTACCCACAGTTGGGTAATTTATTCATACACACATAAATGCTCAGCTACGGTTCATTCTGCGTTATCTAGCTCCTGATAAATATGGAAGAATGCAACAACTCAGTTTTGTGCATGTTTCTGAACCATCACTTTGCATTCAGCTTTTTCTTTCAAGCATGAATTACAAGGAAAAATCCATGAGAAGGCCCTCATCCACCTTCCTGT